GATGGGTGTGGCAGTATCTAAGAAAGGATAGTAGTGAGCACATGGCAGAAGGCTGGGATTCTCTCCTGATTGTTTCTCACTGATGACGACTTACTGAGAAGATGGGAGCAACCAGGCAAGAGTAAGACTCTCTTTTTACTCTAAGGAAAGCAGAATGTTGTTCCACTGGGAAATAAAAATCAGCACATTATCTAGCCAGGCTGTAAAGAGTATTTAGAATGTCATCATAGTATTAACACAATATTAATTTACCTAAAAACTATGTGATTTCTGAGAAGAGAAAGCAGAAGCAGAAGTTCACAAAAGATAAATCCTCATTTACAAAAGAAAATATACTAGATAATGTTTAGAAAAGAGAAGGCATTTAACAGAAGTCTGTGTACATGATTGAAATAAGAGAAGCACAAAAAGAAGCAGAAGCCTAATGCTGAGGATGGAAAACTAGACAGGAAGCTGCAAAATTTGGTTATAAATTTTACACTTGACTTTTTAAACTTCATGAATATATTACTCTGGCAAAAATAAAACTCTGGCAAAGTAGTGTCTCCCTCCACTCAACATTTAAGAGCACTGGCCATCTTAGGCACCAGACACATATGTGGTGCACAAACATTCACACAAGCGAAACACCCACATTCATTTTTTAAAAAGGCAGATGATGGGTATAAGAAGAAAAGACAAGGAAGAAAATTGTTTCTGAGGAACACAGAAAAATAAGTGGTTGCCTGGAACCATTAAGAGTTATGTGAGTTGGGCAAGAGGCAGAGGCAGAGGCAGAGGCAGAGGCAGGTGGATCTCTGAGGTCTAGGGCAGCCTGGTCTACAAATCAAGTTCCAGGACAGAGAAACCCTGCCTTGAAAAAACAAACAAACAACAAGCAAACAAAAAAAGAGTTTGAGTGAAGATGGTCATAGTAATACATGACTTTAATCCCTGAATTTGTGGAGTAGAGATGGGGGCGTCTTTGTTGAGTTCTGGGTCAGTCTGGTCTACACAATTATTAGCCTTAAATATTTTACATTGGTATGGATTTTGATATATTGTTACAAATTTAAAGTTATTTGTTATACTGTATGTATGTTTCTATTCCTGTTTAGAGTATTGTGCTTATGAGGCTTATTTTAAAATGTAATGTAATTAAGAAATGTAGGCTAATAGTTAGTCATCTATAATAATCAAACTTATAGTCCTGCTAGATATGTTTTCAAGATCATACAAAGATATATTCCAGATATATCTTTGAAGATATAAAACTCCAAAGAACTACAGAATATGGCATTTAAGCTGTTTTATAGCCTAAGGCTTTTGGACAGTAAGACACATCTGCTCCTGGTAGCACCAATCGACTTCATAAAAGGATGATGGGCATCAGAGAACCTCCATATGGAGTGTGCTTTCATTAAGCTAGATAATTGGGCAGGAAAATGCTCTTGCCTTGACTGCTGACAGTATGCTGTACATCCTGGACAAATAGGACACAAAGAAAAAAGACTGTTGAACTTTGCCAAGATAAGGCATGACAATCCCTCAAAATTCTTGCTTCATAGAAAAGTCTGCTAGACATTCTGCAGGACACACAGGAAAGTGACAACTGAACTTTGTCAAAAATAGGCAGGACAATCCTTCAAAATCCCTGCTTCATAGAACAGTCTGCTAGATAGCCTAGGTTTGTGGGCCAAGGACGGATGTTCCAATGTTGCAGATGAAACTTAGGTGACTGTCCAGGCAGCCAGATGTCTGTCATTTCTATAGATCTGGAAGTGGCTTGCACTGCACTTCCTGTTTGCTCAGGTAATATTACATCCTTCTGGGGGTCTTTGATGAAGTTAAAGACTAGATACTTATAGTTACAGGTTTCCCTTAGTTATGATAGAAAGTAAATTAGGTACAAAACTTTGGACTCACGAAGATAGGATAAATAATGGAGAATTTTCTTTGAATTTGCCAAATAAAATGGACTGGCTATTGTAGGGAGACACTGTAGCCCCGCCTCCTAGTAGCCCGGACAGGTGTGCCGGGACATGCCCGTGAGGGCGTGTTGAGGGGAAGTCTAAGGTGATGTGATGCCGGGGACTGTGGGAGCCGTCTGCCGGACCTCGAGCCCGGACGTTGGGCGCCAAGTGAAGAGATCAATCCACAGTCCCTAAGGCTAAGATTTCTTTATTCAGATAAACACCAGCCAAGCACAAGCCAGAGTGTGCCAGGGGCAGCAAGGCAGCCAGGCCAGAGAGAGGAGAAGGGAGAAGGGGAGCCCCATCTACTGACTTGGGGCTCGCGGTCGGGCGGCGGCTAAGGGTCACCTTAGACTTCCCCTCACCACACTCTCACGGGCGTGTCCCGGCACACCTGTCTGGGCTACTAGGAGGCGGGGCTACAGTGGCTCCGTACAGGTTATTGTAAATGTAATTCTTACTTGATAACTATTAATGTTGCTTTACTATGTCAAAGTTAAAAACTTTTTTCTTTAGATAGAAGGGGAAACTGTTGTGAAATATTATTTTAACTAGGCAAAGATGTATTACATTTGTTCATGCTGTGGAATATTACTTTAATTGTGTAAAGGTGTGTTATATTTGTTTAATGATATAAGGGCAGGATGTGTTGATTGTGCTTCACCTTGCTTGTCTAAGGCATCTGAATAGTTTAATAAAGAGTCAAATGGCCAATAGCTAGGCAGAAAAAGGATAGGTGGGACTGGTGGGCAGAGAAAATAAATAGGGAAAGAAATCTAGGCTCAAGGAGAAGAGAGAAGGAGAGAAGAACAAGGGATAAAGAGAGAGACATGCTCAGGGCTATAAGCCAGGAAGCCACCAGCCAACCATACATGAGAAGCCATGAAAGTAAGATATACAGAAGGAAAGAAATGTAAAAAGCCCTGGGGCAAAACATAGATGAAGAGAAACAGGTTAAGTTAAAAGAGCTAATGAAACAAGCATAAGATAAGGCCGAGCATTCATAACTAATAAGTCTTTGAGTTATGATTTGGGAGCTGATTGATGTCCCAAAAGAAAAAGCCTGGTACAAGATGTAAATAGCATATCAATTAAAATCTCAAGATCTGAAGTGTAATTTCTACTGACACACATTATTTTCATACTACATAAACCAAAAAAATCATAAAGTTGAAGTTTGTAAGTCAAACCACTGAATTAGACTATACTTCCTTATACACTTACATAAATCATTATATATATATATGTATATATATACATGTATATATACATATGTATATATATCAATCACCTGAGTATTAAAGGAAATGGTGACAATGATAGGTAAGTAATCTAAGCAAGATAAATGTAAATTAGCTTGTTTTCTACTGCAGTAATAAATACCATGATGAATAGCAACTTTGGGAGCAAATAGTTTATTTGGCTTACATGTCCAGATCTCAGTCCATCGTTGAGGGAATTCAGGGCAGGATCCCAGGCAGGAGCAGAGGCAGGAACCATGGAAGAATTCTGCCTACTGATTAGCCTTACTGATGGCTCTTTAGGCTCTCATTCAGCTACCTTTTTTAAAAACCACAACATCTGGTGTATTCATGTGTAAAACAGTGAATTTACATGGGATATGGAAAAATGATGGTTTTTATTAAAGATGAGAGAGAGAGAGAGAGAGAGAGAGAGAGAGAGTGTTAATTTGTGGCTAGGAGGAAGTTGCTTCAGACTATCAAGACTCACATGGACTTGGTAATCTTGCATGCATGACTAAAATAGCCCACCCCTCCCCCACCCCAGGGAATCATAGTGAAATGACCTTCTCCTACACTGGTAAATACTAAAAGAAGTTGCTTTGTAATGCTATCTTAAATATTGAGACAAAATAATTATTGTTGTAATAAAAGAATATGCCCTTGGAAATTTAAAGAATTTTTGTAAAAATATATATCAGCATTAAGTCAGAGAAATGAAAGCATTATGGAGTTTGAGACTCTGAGGAAAAGACCATAGACTCGATCCGGATTATAATTAGTTCAATTTATGAAAACTGTTAGCAGGACAACAATCTCTGAACCAAACTTGAGATTGCTGTGAGAAGGGGAGTGAGGGAAGGATTTTTAAAGGTGAAACCACAAGAAGACTTTGAGTATGTACACGAGCAGGTGATAGAAGCCCAAAAAAGCGGTTAGTCACACCGTAACAAGTAGATAGATGGTCACTGGTGATGTGTATTTTGAGGTGGAGAGGGGGAGCACTGAATCGGGGTTCCTGGGAACTTACCTTCCAGAGACTAGCATCAGAGACAAGCTAGTCAAGTACTAAGATGGATGACTACATAAATGGAGTTTCTTTTGTCATCACAAAGGAATAATAATGTTTCTCCTTTGTGTTTTTAAACCAACTTCAGCTACCTTTTGTATACTTAATAGGACCTGCCCAGGGGTGGCACAGCTCACGGTGGGTCTTGCCTTCCTACATTGATCATTAATCAAGAAAAGGCCCCCACAGAGTTTCATACAGACCAATCTGATAAAAGCATTTTCTCAGTTGAGGTTTCTTTTCGGATGACCCTAGTTTCTGTCAAGGTAACAAAAAATTAACCAGGGCAATCAAAGAAGGAGTTGAAGGCATGAAGGTGAAAACAGTAAAGAGAGGAGAAATAGATGGATTCCAAAGTCCATGGGTCAAGGAATTACGGAATCAGCCAGAGAGAGAGAGAGAGAGAGAGAGAGAGAGAGAGAGAGAGAGGAGAAATGGTAGAACAGGCTGTGTAAGATTCTGATTACGAAGTAGTTGTACTTCCTGACAAAGGTCAAGTTGTAAGGACCTTCAATTATTTCCCCTCATCCTCTTTGCTAGAGTTGACACTCCATCATCTCTAAGAGGTCTGTGTTTCAAAACCCTTCTTTCTTTTAAATTCAGATGAGAGAGTCTGGGAATAGTCAGTTTCTTCTTGGGATGTAAGACTGAATAACACATTGTGTCTAAACTATAAAGGCAGCCATTATGGAGTTTGTATATGTGAACACTGTGATTCACAGAGTCATCTTTCCACAGGTTTAAAAAGTTTGTCTATACCTACCGAATCTTCAGGGAGAAACATGGATATTACAAGATAGAGGTAAGACTACATAAGGACTACCACAACAGTGTAGGAACTAGTGAAAAGCTGGGGTCATCGCCTGAATCTTTGATGTGACCATGTGGAGGCCTTTAAAAACAGGAATGCCACACCAAGTTCGATAAGCAGAGAGCTTTACCTTGCTCTGAGAGAAATGAGCCAGTGCTGGAGTTGAGTTCCACATTTTAGTAATCCTGGCTGTTCCTCCAGACTGTAGAGGCAGCCAAGCCTACTCCCATCAAGGTCAACTATGTGGACCTGGACTCCATTGAAAACTGTTGTAAAACTAAACCATATCCCAGGACAGGTGTGGGAAGGGTGGGTGGACAGAAGCTCAAATGTTCCAAAGCCAAGCATATCTACAGCTGCCTGAAAATAGGACAGGGGCCATTAAATATTTGGAAGTTTTAGGGACTCGTTTAGTTTTTCTGGTTTCCTGTGAACTCAACAGGGGAATCTCTTTGCTTCTTTTGAATTTAGTTATTTGCTTTAAGAAGAAAGTATAACAAATATAATGGAATTCTTAGTTACCAACAGAAGATCCTAAAATATGTTCTGACTAACATCTTCAATATGCTCACGTAACTGTGAATATCTGAAAGAGATTAGAACATACAACGATCCCTAAAAGACTTAAGCATCTATTTTTTCTTTTGCTGTAGAGGATATCCTCGAGGCAATCAGTAAAATTTGAATTAGTTTCAAAATTCAAACAAGATTAGTAACTAGTTCTTCATGAAAGTTAATTTTCCCATTTTAATCATTGTCGTCTGGCTGTGTACAATGTTTGCCTTTTGGACCCCTGAAGTACTTAGAATTGGTTAAAGAAATAGCATGCCGTCAACTTCTCAAATGTTTGTGAATAAGTTTTTGAGATATAATTGTATCATGGTCCCTGCCATTTTCTCCCTCTAGACCCTCTTATATACCCTTCCCCTTTGTCTCTTTCAATTCATGGCCTCTTTTTACATTGTCATTCTCCTCACGAACAGACACCCCCCTAAATACAAAAGTATAACCTACTCAGGCTGCATACTGTTACTTGTATCCATAATGTTTCACTAACATGGCTGCCTAAACATGACTTGAACATGGATGACGCCAACAGACACGCTAATGTGGATGGAGGGAAGCTCACGAGGCCTCAACCATACATAGATACAAGCAACTAAAGGATGCTGAATGTGGGAGACACGGTCCTCCAAAGGGAATCACACCAAACTGGTTATTGAATACCAAACGGTCAGCCCTGAAAATTTGTTAAAAAGAATATACATATGCAAACTGGCTGTGGTGGCTCATGCCTGTAATCCTAGCACTTAGGAGGTAGAAGCAGGAGGTTTAGAAGTTCAAGGTCATCCTCAGCTACGTAGTGAACTTGAGGCCAGCTTGGGCTACATGAAACCTTGTTTCAAAAACAGAACAAAATACAAATCCATACATATGTGTATATACATATATACAAGCTCATATATTTTAGAGAGACTAAAAGGGCAAACAAATAAAATATTATTATATAGAACCTAAGTGGAGAATTTATGGGAATTTTACTTTTACTATTTTTCCAATTTGTCTGTGTCTGTCTGAAATTACCCCAAAATAAAATGCCTCCTAAAGAGAAGACCAGTTTGAAACCCATTTTTCCCTTTTTCTTGTACACTGGGGAATTCTGGATATTCCCTCAGAACCTATTTTGTCCCTTTTGTTCATTTTTCTGAACCAAAAGGGGAGCCCTCCATACAACACATACCTCAGATACAGAGAAGCATTTGGCCAAGGGAAGGCTTTACACTCACAGCCCTGCAGCAGGTGACACTAGGAGCTGAAGTGACCCCATTAAAGGAATGCACAGTGAAGTGTATGGAGGTTAAGCATGCACTTCAGAAAACCTCATTCCTAACCATACCTGTTGGCGATGCTAGGGCCATAGGATCACCACAGCGATGACCAAGAAAACCACATACAAAGGAGCAGAGGAAGAAAACGCTTTGTGTTTTTGAATTCCTTCTGTAAGCACCTATCAGAAAAGAGGATTTTTTTTTTCTTTCTAGTTGCTAACCGGAAAACAAGTCTGTGATTTCACTAAGTCATGTTGTCATCCTACTCTCAGTACAAACTGGGGCTTGTTTCTTCTATCTGCACCCTGTGGAGAGTCCGAGTAGGCACCTTATATGTCAATTATTTTGCATTTTCTCTCAGGAGTCCCCAATTGACCAAAGGCCAGCAGCATGACACAGTCTGACAGGGAACTAACTACAGTGAAGCTACAATAAGAGCCAGTCCAGACAAATTGCCAAGGATGGGGCTCACTCAGCACAGTGACTGGGGAACTTTTAAGTAAAAGCCCCCTTTATACAGAGTTGTTTGGGCACAAGGTTCCTCTTCAGAATGAGGAACCTCTATGAAATGCTGTTGGTAAGAGCCCTAGGCCTGAGCTGCTAGCGTCTTACTTTTCGCTTGTCTCTCGGGCAGCCCTCAAAACCACTGTTGCAAGAAGTGTCACATTTTAACCACAGCTGCGCAGTGACCTTTCTTATGTCTTTGCAGACTGTGGAAGGTGCTCCAAAACAGATCTTTCCGAACCTAGAAGAATTAGTCTCCAAGTATGAAAAGCCAGGTCAAGGTCTGGTGATTCACCTTTCAAACCCAATGATGAGAAGCGGCTTCTGCCCAAGAGGGAGAAGGATGAAGTTAGAGATGAATGTTTATGGTAAGAGCCCTGACAAAGGGTCAGGAGGGACCCCGAAGCCTGCGTCCAGCTCTACTCTGTAGAGTTGATGGAAATTGCTGACTTGGTCTAGGACATTAAAGAGCTTCATCTTGCTAAGTGCAATTTCTACTGTACTGAGAAACAATATCTCCTAGCCCCTGCAAGTGGCCAAGACATAGAGTTGTCTGTGCTAGGACAACCAGGAAGGCAAGGAAAGGTCCTGACCAAAAAGCTGACTTGGGTTTCATTCTGTGGGCATGCGCAGTCCACCATGGTAATAAATGCACATGTGGGCAGGTTTTCACTGAAAAGACTCATGTCAAATCACCCACCAAGGCTTATCCTATTACATTTTGTTCAATCTTTGCTAAGCATTCATTTATAAAATGATCAGGGACAAATTATTTCATATATATATATATCCCTAAAGGTATGAAGCCACCGAGACACGGCGGGGGGGGGTGGGGGTGGGGGTCAGCACGTGTGAGGAAAGTCTGTTCACAGCACTCTCAGATCATATTTCGAGCTTACCCTCATCTTCATCATCTGCCCATTGCGGCAAATTTTGAATTAAACACAGACATGCAGAGACGTTTCTGGTCCCACCCAATCGCTCATGATGAAATGTGTGGTTTCATTTTGTGTGAGAGGGATTGCAGTTGTCTGTGGGTGGCAATGGTGATGACAGCAGATCTACTAACTAGGGAGAAAGATGAGAGGGCACGAGCTCTCAGGGAGCCTGCCAGCATCCATGCTATTCTGCCTGAGCAAAGTCCCTTTTTTCGGCTGCCGTGGTAAGCTTCTCATTTCTCTAAAAAGATAAAGCGTGAGATTTTAATGACTAAAATAAAACCTTGCCCCCCTAACATTACTTCCAGCCATTCATCATCATTCAGGGGATTGTGTGGACAATACAATCTGATAATTTCGTTTAAGTCCAGCCACAGATATAGCCGCACTGCTCTTTTCCATCAAAACTTACAGAATTAGGAAGTCTGAAAGGGCTGGAGAAATAGCCCGGTTGGTAAAGTGCTTGCCTTGCTTGTGTGAGGCCCTAAGTTGGATCCCTAGAAATGATGGCTTTGAAAATCTGTACAACGTGGCACATGCTTGTAATCTCAGTGCTGAAGAAACAGACACAGGTAGATCCATGGGGCTTCCTGACCATCACACCTGGTGAGCTCCAAGCCAGAGGAAGACCTTGTTTCAAAAAATAGAGTAGATGGAGCCTGAAGAACAACATGTCAGGCTAACCTCTGACCACACACAGGCACCCTTGTGTAGATACACCTGCATACATACCTATATACATGCATGCACACACACACACCCAAAGGTATTAAGGGGAAGAAAGCATAAAGGTGTCAAAGCCAGACACTTGTGCAAATCAAGATGAGTTGCTGGGAGTGGCTGGGATGGTAATACTTTTGTCTGAGGTATAATGAAAGGCTACTAAATCCCTGGAAGAGAATGGGCTTGGGAGAGGTCTTTCCCAAGAACTGGACATGGGTCTGGCCACACCAATTTTCCAAGCATAGTCAGACTTGGTAGAGTGTGCTCCACGTACTTAGCTACCAAAGGGGAAATGCCTTCCCTTCCTCTTGCCTCCTCAGAACCAGCTCCATGCAGAGCTACTCTGACGAAGGCATGGGATTTTCACTGGTGAAGGTAGACACTGAGTACTAGAAACTAAGGATCCACTTATCAAAAAGCAAAAACAAACAAAAAACAAACAAACCCTATTTGTCCAAGCAAGTCCCTAGTGCCACTGCAGCCTTTGAAGATGTCTCTTTGATGTGGCATCAGCACTGCTTTGTGCCTGGTGTCCTTTTCCTCGAGTTGGGATGGCTGGTGGGACTTCTGGGTGTGGCATCTCATGGCTGTCCTTTGCTTTTCCCCAGAGAACACTAACGAGGACTATGTGGATATCTTGCCTTGAAGACAAGGACATAGGACAAAACAAGCTAAGGGAGGGCTGAGATGGCAGAGCTCTCAGCGGCCACCACCTCTGCAAGTGTCTATCTAAAATGCCAACTTCTAGAGGGCCTCTGAGACCCTCCTGACCTGGGTAGCAGGATCTTCTCAACTGAAGCCTTGGAGAAGTCCCTTCCCACATGTCTGACTCCTGGCACACTCACAAGAAGCTCCAAAGCCACCGTCACCTGTTACTCTCCTATCTTGGAATTGGACAGCCGGAATCCAGGCATTGCCATTGCATCCTGGCTGACAACATCTAACAGGACAAAGGGAAGGGCAGCTTCATAGAAAGGAAACAATACTCTGTAGTAACTTCAGAGTCCCCAACCTGTGTTCTGTGACTTTTGGCAAACCGCCCTCTCTGGTGTGGTTGAGTGGTTCACACACACTAACCTGGACCCTCTGTTGAGCCTGGTTGTCCCAGGTGGAGCTGGCGTCTGAGCAGAGGAATCAAGGTCTAAGGATGCTGAAGAAGCAAACATGTCCTCCAGCTGTGGAGGTCTTGGTCCTGATGAGGGCTGTGACCCACCAATGTTCCCTTTCCCTCTCGTTTGACCTAGCCCCATCTCTTCAAAGGTTGACTTCCTGCCAGGCATTCCTCTGGCCTCGGTTTTTCCTGATTTTCCCCAAGTCTGTATATACAGCAATCACTTTGTCAGCTCTGCCTTTTGATAAATGTGATAATAATATTTATTTTATTATTATTTTTTATTAGCATACAGAGAAATGGGTTTTATTCTGACCTTTTTATATCTATAAATCATTACACTTTGGGGGTCTTTTTTTTGTTTTTGTTTCTTTTTTTTTTTTTGAGACAGAATCTGAGTCTAGCCCAAGTTAACCTCAAACTCTAACTTTATGCCTCAGCCTCCTATGTGCTGGGGTTACAGGTGCATGCGATCTCTGTGACCAATATGCTCTTCTTTCTTGACCTTCCCCTGTACTGCCCCATCCTTTGCACCTTGCCGTGACACTCCTATCCCCAAAGAGACCGCCTTCTGCCTATATTTCATTGCCTTCCTTCCACTTTAGACCTCTTGCTCCTGTCTCATAGTCCGGGTTTCTGAATTTTCATGTCCTCCATACATATGTATTTATACATATAAATTTAAATCTGGATCTTACATATGAGAAAAATGTGGTTTGTCCTTCTGAATCTAATAAACTTCACGCAACAAAATGATCTTCGGGTCTGTCCATGTTTTCTTGTGTGAGAATGCTGGAAGTTCATTGTTCTAATTCCATTGCGCATGTGTACCAATGTGTGGCTGTTTTAAAGATGTTCTCGCATGGGTGGTTCCATTCCTGCCTGTGTTCTAAATGCCATCAGAGCATGCCCTCCCTGCACATAGGAGTTATGGACTGCAAGCATTTTTCTGAAGGGTTGGATGAGCTGACTTTAAGGCCTCTTGAGTTTTTCTGCTAGTTCAAAAGGTTAAACTAAAGCTGGACATGTATCTCAATGGTAAAGCACTTGCTTAGCATGTACAAGGCCTTGGTTCAATCACCAGCATATAGAAAAGAAAAAGGGAGGGAGGGAGAGAGGGAGGCAGAGATGAAGGAGGCTAATTAAGGCCTGGTTAGAAGCCAAGTGTGACAATATACATCTGAAACCCTAACCACTTGGGGGATTGAGAATTTGAGGTCAGCCTGGGCTGCACAGTGAATGAAAACGATGACGTGGTTGCTCCAAGGTAATGGTTAAGGAGAAAGTTTTATTGTAGATATGAGGGAGAGAACAGCCAGAGTCATCTGGAAGGGTCCAGGCTGAACTGGGCCAGCAGACTGAATGGACCATGGAGGAGTAAGGAGCAAAAGGGGAAGAGAATAGAGAGAAACAGAGAACATGAGAACTAAGAGACTAGGGAGGAGCCAGGAACCGAGAGAGCCGTAGCCACACGGTTGAGTTTACACAGGAAAGAGAAGCTGGGAGAGAAGGAGCCCCGGAAGTGTTGGGAGGCACCACAACTACTGAAGGAAACATTCCCCCTGGTTTCTTTGGGACCTGACACACAGTAAGATCCCTTCTCAAAAATAGTAAAGAAGCATCCCAGTTAGTGCAGAGTGGACACGTTCTGTGACTTTTATTTTCAAACTGTAGTGCCTTTTATTTTGAAGAGAGGAACTCCAGACTTCCATATAACATAACTGATTTTGTCACTAGAGTCCCCAAATGTGCATAACTGTGAATTGGATCCAGGAATCCCTTCACTACTATCAAGCAGAGAGGCAGCAAAACTTCAGCCATGTTCAGAGAGCTGAGGGGAGAACTCCTGCATGCATCTTCGGTAAAAGACACAAGAAGCAAGCCTGCTCCCTGAGATTCAGTTCCTGGTCTTTCATTCCACGGGACCAACAAGCATGCTTCAGTCCCCAGAGTCTGCAGAAATCCTTGGCTAGGAAATATATTCTATGAATATAAATATATGAATATATAGCCTATAAATATATGTGAATATATATATAGATAGATATGTAAATGAATGGATAGGGCTATACACAGATTCCCTCATTTTAGATAGCCAAGATTTGACAGAGCTTTATACATTACTCTGTAGCCCAATTGGAATTTGAACTCTTGGAAATCCTCCTGCCTCAGATCCCAAGTGCTAAGATACAGCCACATGCCACCACCTAAAAGCAATCTCCCTTTCTTTTCCCATGTGGAGAGTTTGAGTGATGTTTGATGTTTGATTCCAGTGACTTTTGGTACACCTTCCAGACAACTAAAGCCATGCTTCACACCTGATGTTGACCTCATGCTGTGAATCCCTGATATTTTTGAAAGATGTTGAATAGGTCGTAGGATGAACAAATGACAATTTTGAGCATGTGTCACTGGAAGAGTATTGCTCATTATTAATATTATTAATATAATTCTATTTAAAGTATATAATTACAATTATAATATAATAACACATCACGTGTGTTTGAAGTGCTGTTCTGTGAAGGTGTGGCTCTCTGAGTACAATGCCAAATCACAGAACTCAGACCAATGGTTGGGGGTTTGAGGAGAGCAGTTTTAGTCAAATGTAAGAAAGAAGGCTGGATTTCTAGAACTGTCCCATAGCCTAACAGTCTGTCCTGCATGATGGTCCAGGTGGAAGGTGATATATTTTCGAAGTGATCACTCCAATCTCTGGTGATCACAATGGGAAACTTCCTTCCGTCCTTTTCCTTCCTTCCTTCCTTCCTTCCTTCCTTTCTTTCTTTCTTTCTTTCTTTCTTTCTTTCTTTCTTCCTTTCTTCCCCTCCCCCCTCCCTCCCTCCCTTCTTTTCTTTTTTTATTTCCAAGACAAGTTTTCTCAGTGTAGCAGCTCTGGCTGTCCTGGAACTAACTCCGTAGGCCTGGCTGGCTTCAAACTCACAGAGATCCATCCACTTGTCTCTGCCTCCTAAGTGCTGGGATTAAAGGCGTGAATCCAGGCTTTCTCTTTCTTTTTGGTATTTAGGTATGGAAAGTTGAGTTTATCCATTCCTTAATTCTTAACTCACTATCAGCATTACTCTATAAAAATCCGTTATTTCATTTCATTTATTTTTATTCTTTCAATTCCAAATTTCCATCCTAACATTCACTTCCCTCCACACAGGAGCTACTTCTAGACTTTCGACAGAAGCATTGGATGTGGATGTAAAATATCCACACTGTGGATATTTTACTGTGGATAAGCACTGACTGTGGACAGGTGTCTCGGGCATTTCTGTACAATACAGTAGTATTCCTTCAACTCTGTTATTCCTTTGCTTCCTGAAATACTCTATGGTTCTATTCTGCACCTTTGAGTGTGCATCTTGGTCAGTGCCTTTATCTGACAGGTCATGTTCCATAGTGTGTGTCTGTCGCATTTAGCTCACCTGTTTCTCTAGAAGTAGGCATTAAAGTTGGTACCAGCTTCCCCTTCCGGCTCCCCAACCTCTCCTGAGCCCTACTCCTCTCCAAGGTCTCCATCACTCCAGGATCTCTCTGGGCCTGTGGCTGCAGAGAGTGGTCCCACCTGCATAGAGTGGACGCACCCAGACAGGAAGGACCTCCATGAGTCTGGAAATACCTCACTCTCCCTTCCCCCTCCGCCTTCCTGACCTCTCCTGAGTCCTACTCCTACCCAAGGTCCCCATCAACCCAGGATCTTTCTGGGCCTGCGGCAGCAGAGAGCAAACTCACCTGCATAGAGTGGACCCACCCAGACAGGAAGGACCTCCTTGAGTCTGGAAATACCTCACTATCCCTTCCCCCTCTGCCGCCCCAAACTCTCCTGAGTGAGGAGACTACCAGGAGAGTCAAGAACATCCATATCTGCAGACATTAAAGTCTTGGCCCACACACACCACCGGGTGACAAGAGGAGATAGAGAGACCCCACCTGCACCCACTGGAAGAAGAGATGGGAAGAAGGCAGAATAAGAACACACTCAACAGAAAGACCAACATGACACCCCCAGACTCTAGGGTCTCCACACCAGCAAGATCTGAAAAGCACAACACAGAGGAAGAAGAAGAGACAGACCTAAAAATCTACTTCATGAAGATGTTCAAGACCCTTTAAAGAGGAAACAAGAAAATCTCTTCAAGAAATAGAAGAAAAAACAAACAAAAAATATTCAAATTAAAGTTAGTACCAACTTCTTGCTCCCACAAACAACATGGTGACGGTAGTATTGCATGAGTGTCCTAGGGAACTGTGAGGAGTTCTCTAGACCAAATGGGTGGATCAAAAAGTGTGCTCATATTTCTTATGTCACGAAGTCTATTATGCTGTTTTCCATATGCTTTGTGCTTTTCTGATTCTTGCTTAGGAAAAAGTCCTTCCCATTCCAAGGTCATGAAAAATGATGTTACATTTTCTTCTATTGATTTTTTTACTGTTACCCTTTACCTTTAGGGGTTAACAATACTGACAGGATTTCCACCTTTTCACTGACAAATATCCAGTGTCCAAAAAAAGCCTTCCACACATAGTAGATGCTCAATAAGTTTCTGTTGAATAAATGGTGAATTTAGGTGTAATCTTTGTATGTCATAAGAGATATGAAGCCAAGTATATTTTTCTTCAAATCTATTAAGCCAGTTTTCACATTTCACTAGTAGGAGCCCCCACCAGTTAGTAATTCATCTTAGTAATGGATCTGCTTAGTAATCCATGTCTCCATATTCTGATTTATCGCTCTTTCACTATATAATATCACAATAGTCTCCGTATTCTGGCTTTGTTATGTCTTACATCTTTGAATGTTGAAAGTGGCATGTTGCCTACTTTCTAGGATGAGTGCCCTCTCCTATTTTTTCAAAACTATCTTAAGCTATTCATGAATCTTCCAGTACATTTTATATGTTAACTTGCTCAAGATAGCATGGTAGAATTTTGAATGAAACTGCCATTGTCTTATAATTAGGAAAGAAATGGACTTCCTTGGGATATTTTCCTATACATAAATATGCTTCCTGCATTTGCCCAGTCATCTTTGGTGGTTTGTAAAGGAGTTCCTGTTGGGGATATTTGATCACACTTTGAACCCTTTTTTACATTTGCATTAATTAAATAAAATGAAGTTTAGGTCAGGAGGCTGAGTTAGTTAGTAACTAGATGACAGACAGTAATCATAGAGCCATCAGAGGGCATCTGGAAGACATGAAGAGATGCACTGAAAGTTGCAGGAAGGGGTTCTGAGGATGTGGCTTTTTTGTTTTGGTGGAGGAGAAGGATGTGTTTTTTGGGAGACACCAACTAGGAGTGAAGGTTTGCTAGTTGCTAATCAACCTCTCTGAGCTAGCAGGTTTTCAAACCAGCCTCTGAGTCTCAAGTTTTATTTATAAAAAGAACAATAGAGATTTAGCTACTGCTACCTTTAGCAGCAGCAGTAAAGCTGGGAAAAGAATTCCCTCCAGGGTGCTGCCAGAGATGCAAACTGCAGCGGCACAATTGCTGACTGAAACAGCAGCAGATTAAGATGCAGCTACTGAGCCAAAGAAAAATCTACAAGTTCCAAATTTTTACCATACAGGCTTTGTATATTCCATCAATAATTAATTAAGAATTGATTCTTTTTTCTTTTTCTTTCTTTCTCTTTCTCTTCTTCCTCCTCCTCCTTCTTCCTTTTTGTCTTTTCGAGACAGTTTCTCTGTGTAGCCTTGGCTGTCCTGGAAATTTGCTCTGTAGATCAGGCTGTCCTTGAACTCATAGAG